TGCCTCTGCAGGCAGTATTTTAATATAGATTTAAGTTTTACCTTCTGGTTTTCACTATATGTGAATGAGGCAATCTCTCCCCAGCGGCGTTCCTGCCATGGTTCGTGGATGGGAAGATGTTGATACTGGCATTCTTCACTGATATATTCTGTCTTCCACATACAAATTAACATTTCCCTTCCCTGGAATGGAGAGATATAAGGCCTGATCCTTGGAGGTGCTGAATACCCTTTACTGCCATAAGAATGTCAGGCCATTAGCCTTTTCAGCAGCGTCTGCCTTTGTGACCTCTTCCAGAACTGTTTAATAAATACACATTTGTTTCATCCCCCATTGACTGTACTGGCATTGATCCTCCAGGACGTTAAATACTTTGAGTTCTATGGATGAACAATGCTATGTAAGAGCTAGGGATAGTAGTTGTTGGTGTTATTAAGGTGCTGTGTAAATTCAAAGTATGTTATTGTATTCTCTTACCATAGCGTATGGTTTACAGCAACTATGGGAACATGCTATCGTTGCATTGCCAGAAAAACCCCATGTTTCCTTAAATTTGGTGATTACTAGATTTGTCGTGACTTTTGACCTCCTCCTAGTAAGCCAGCCAATAAGCTAAGCAGGATCCAACATGATTTGAAAAAGTGAAAAAGAAAAGTGAATCCTGAGCTAATTAACTGTTTTTCTCTGGCTGCTTAGTAAAGGCATTTGCAGTGGAAACAGACATTCAAATTCTTAGCCTCTGTGGTAGTTCAGTTTGTATAGACTACTTCTAGCTTGGGTGTTGGTAGGACTGAACCTTTCATATCCCAGAACTTAATGATTATTTGAATAGTTATTTTAGATAAATTGATTTTTACAGTTTCCCTGATAGTATGCTTGCATTGTTTTCATTTTGATAGCAAATACCAAGTAGCCAAAACAAGGGAAATGTAAGGAGACCTGTATTTAAGGAATAAAGGAGTTCAGGAGAGCTAGCAGTTTCTCAAAGAGACAGTATTAAAGGCACAACTGCAAACTATGCCGATGAGAAGGAAAGATAGGAAGAATAGTAAGAGGCCAATATGGCTCCATTGGGAGCTCTTTAATGACCTGAAAAACAAAAAGGAATCCTACAAAAAGTGGAAACATGGAGCGATTAATAAGGGGGAATACAAAAAGAATAGCACAAGCACGTGGGGATAAAATCAGAAAGATGTAATTTATTTTGTGCTTTAGCCTAGCAAGGGACATAGAAGACAATAAGAAGAGTTTTTTTTAAATACATTAGGACCAAGAGAAAGATGAAGGAAAGTGGGGAAGGGAGAGCTAATAACAAATGACATTAAGAAGGCTGAGATGATTAATGCCTATTTTACTTCAGTCTTCAGTAAAAAGGTTTATGCATTGAATATTGGGTCACCAATCAATGTTAACTACAAGGAGGACGGAAACCAAAACCGGAAAATAACACATTAAGGAATATTTAGATAAGTTAAATGTATTCAAGTTGGCCAGGCCTCATGAAATTCACCTATGATACTTATTTCAGGTTTCAGAGTAGCAGCCATGTTAGTAGGGAATTAACTGAAGCAATCTCGGAGCCTTTAGCAGTTACCTTCAAGAACTCATGGAGGACAAGTGAGGTACCAAAAGGACTGGAGAAGAGCAATCATAACTCCTATCTTCAAAAAGGGGAACAAAGGGCACCTGGGAATTTATAGATCAGTCAACCTAACTTTGATACCTGGAAAGATACTGGAACAAATTATTAAACAATCCGTTTGTAAGCACTGGGAGGATAAAAGGGTTCTAAAGAATAGCCAACATGGATTTGTCAAGAAGAAATCCTGCCAAACCAACCTAATTACCTTCTTTGACAGGGTTACTGGTCTGGTGGATGGGGGAAGCAGTAGACGTGATAGATCTTGATTTTAGTAAGGCTTTTGTCACAGTGCCACGGAACATTCTCACCAGCAAACTAGGGAAATGTGATCTAGATGAAATTACTATAATGTAGGCGCACAACTTGGTACCACATGGCATTTTGATTAAAACACTAGAACAATATAAAAGGAATGTGGAGCACATTAAATGGATTAAAAACTGGCTCACTGATATATAACTGTAAATGGGGAATGATCATTGAGCAGATCTCTTTCCAAGAGTCTCAGTTCTTGGCCCTGTGCTATCTAACATCTTTATCAATCACCTGGAAGAAAACATAAAATCATCACTGATAAAGTTTGCAGATGACCCAAAAATTGAGGGAGTGGTAAATAATGAAGAAGATGGGTCACTGATTCAGAGCAATCTAGTTTGCTTGTTAAAATGGGCACAAGCAAACTGTGTGGTTTAGTATGGCTAAATGTAAATGTGTTCATCTGGGAGCAAAGAATGTAGGACATACTTACAGGATGGGGGAACTCTATCCTGAGACACAGTGACTCTGAAAGATTTGGGGTCGTGGTAGATAATCAGCTGAACATGAGCTCCCAGTATGACACTGTCGCCAAAAGAGCTAATGAGATCCTGGGATGCATAAACAGGGGAATCTCAAGTAAGTTATTTTACCTCTGTATTTGGCATTGGTGAGATCACTGATGGAATGCGGTGTCCTGTTCTGGTGTCCACAATTAAATAGAGATGTTGATAAATTGGAGGGGATTCAGAGAAGGATTAAAAAAAATTAGAAAACATGCCTGATAGTGATAAACTCAAGGAGCTCAGTCTAGTTAGCCTAATAGAGAGAAGGCTAAGGGATGACTTGATTACAATTTATGAGTACCTACTTACAGTAAGTCTACATTGCAGTGTAAGCCCAGGGTTAGTGGGACTTGAGTCAGCTGACCTGTGTTAGCGAACCCTGGGCTTGAGCATCTACACTGATTCTTAACCCTATGTTAAGATTTTTCAAATTTGGGCTTGAACCTGGGGCTCTGGTGTCCACACTGCAGCATGCTGACCTGAGTCAAAGCAAACATATCCCAGAGCCCCTAGCACCCTCCTGAAATGTGGCCACTCTAGCCCTTTGACCATGATGCACTGTGGGAAATCTTTACTGCCCACCCTGCATGTTACAGGAAGTTTGAACAGCCTGCCGAGCAGTCATTTTGGCCTGTGTACTCCGAGATACTGGAGCCAACCTTTTGAAGAACTTCTCTTGCTTGCACTTTCACTCCTGTGTCAGGAAACAGGCAGAGCTTCCATGAGAGGCTGGTGGGCATTTCCATGCATTTTCTGACCCACCAAAGGTACCTGATGGAGGAGGAGGCAGAGGAGGAACAGTACCCTGGCATGGCAGACTTGCACTGGCAGATGCTGCTCAGTATAATCGGCATAGCCGCTGATGCCCCCTACGTAAACCAGTGCCTCTGGCACAGGACTGCAAGCACGGACTAGTGGGATCACATTGTCATGTAGACCTAGGATGACCAGCAGTAGGTCCAGAACTTTCGCGTGAAGAAAGCTACGTTTCTGGACCTTTGTGAGCAGCTTGCCCTGACTCTCCAGTGTAAAGACACACACGTGAGGCACTCTTGCCTGTCCAGAAGCGGGTTGGTATAACCTCCTGGAAGCTGGCTACCTCATACTGCTACAGGTCTGTTGTCTACCAGTGTGATGATGGAGAGTTGACTGTGGTTAAAGTGGTAGCAGAGGTTTCGAGGCAATCAGGCATGTGGTTTACTCCAAAGTGGTGGGCATTCAAGATATTCTGGAGGTAATTGCTGGCTTTGAGATAACGGGCAACAGAGGTCAGGGATGCTTTGAGTTCTTGCATTATGGCCTTGCACTGCCCAGTGGAAGAGGGGGAATAGCACCCGTACGAATGTGCTTGTGTGGGGAAAGGGGCTAATTGATTTTGGGGGATGTTTGCTCGATTGCCATGCAATATACTTATGCATGACACGTTGAATACCGGATTGGGGGGTGGCGTGAATCGCAGTGTAGGTTCATAGAAGGAAGGTATTGAAATGTGAATTGCTGTACCTAACCGCATAGAGGAATAGTGTTGCTTAGTTATGTATAATTGCTCCTGATCACATTTTTAGCTTTATCTCAAATCATGATTGTAAGAGGTGATGCACTGATAGCAATAAACTTTCCTGATGATATAAAAAGCTTTATTTGTAAACGTGTTAAAACTGTACGACAGTTGCCTATTGCTACGCAGGCCAGCTGACATTACAACACCCAAAAAACAAGTACCAGAAGAACATTTCCAAAACAAAAATATAAAAGAGCAGGAAACAGTGCAAACATGACTTAAACCCCCTACCACTACTTGTCTCTTGGCTCCATGTTCTCCATTCTCTTCTTTCCCCATTTTCTGTGCACTGGGTGCCAGGCTGGGGGTGGAGGGATCCACACGAGAGGGGTTCAAGGAGGAAGGCTCCAGGGGGTTTAGTTGCTCTGCCCCACTGCCTATCGGGCTTGAATGCATGGGCTGCCCAAGGTATTTTTAGACTGAAGCTACATTGCAGGGAGATCAGATCATGGTGTAGGAGAGGCAGCAGGAGCTGGTGCTCCCCATCCAGGATGGAGATGAGTCACTCAAACAGTGCTCTCTGAGCTCTGTCCTCCTCCCTTAGCCACCATTCCTGTTCTAGGAACTGTGTTGCAAGTGCCTGCTCCATAGCTGAAAACCTGTCCCGCCCCCGGGCAGCAAGCCTCACCCTTTCCACCTGCCTCTCAGCATGCTGCTGTTCCAGTCTTTCATCTCTCTGCTGCTGGTATTGGACTGCTTGTCAGCCCTCTCAAGAACTTCAACCGTAACTTCATCACGGAAACGCTTCTGTCTGGAGTGGCCCACAAAGGTTTATTGGGCCAGGCGTCAAATTCTGGATATACAGCAGCCAGTGGAGATTGAGGGGCCTGAAATAGGACAAGAAATAGAGGGTTATTGTCTAAAATAGCTCAGTGGAGGAGCATAGAATTAATTCTTGTGGAATCTCAAGGACATAAAATGTTACATTTAAAAACTGAACCAAAATGTATTGTGAAAGGGATGCTTCTGTCCACAGAATCTCTCTGGATACAACCTGGTTAATCACAGTTCCAGAAGTGCAGAGACCATGGTAAGTTAAAAATTATAATTTTTTTTGATTTTACACATATTTCATAAGTAATTGGATTGTCTGGGGTAGCGAGAAGTGCACGTGCAACAAAAGGCTTTTTCTATCATTTCTGGCCTTTCATGTTTTGGAGGACGTAACTGTTGTTTGTGGTGCCCTCTTGGAAAAAGGAGATGTTATTCCAAGCTGTTGTTGGGAAATCTACACTATACGCAGCTGAAGTATTCAAACGTATAGTGACTGAACCGCACATCTGTGAGTGGAGTGAGCTAATCAGCTACCGAGGTGGCCCTGGAAAATATGCTTTTCCCTGCAATGTGACTTCCTCGCTGGAGTTTCTGATGGGATGTTTGCAACTCAGTGATCAGAAGACAATAGAAGGGTTAACGCTGACTCACTGAGCTGCAGCTGTCCATCAGAGGGGGGTAGCTTCTGTTTTCAGTTGAATCAATTGGAGATTGTTGGGATAGAGAGGACTAAGGCCTTGGCTACACTTACCAGCTAGTTTGACGGCTGGAAATCGAAGTTCTGGGTTCGACTTATCGCGTCTAGTCTGGACGCGATAAGTCGAACCCGGAAGTGCTTGCCGTCGACTGCGGTACTCCAGCTCGGCGAGAGGAGTACCGCGGAGTCGAT